TGAACGCCTAAACCCTAGAACTTCTTAAACATGTATAGTTAAAAACCCTATGCAATGTGGAAGTTTATACTCAACAAAAACAAAGCAAACTCATTGTCCGCCATGGAAGACAAGGAGGAAGAACATAACAAAAACAAGGATCCAATTCGCATTGATTTGATTCCTCTTGATCTAACGATAGAGATTCTCACTAGACTGCCCGTAAAATCGCTTCTAAGGTTCCAGTATGTTTCGAAGACATGGTGTTCCATTATCCGAAGCAAAGATTTCATCAACTCTTCGGTCTCTATGTCCTCGATGCCATCTTCACAAATTCTAATATCTTTCAAAAACGGTACCTTGACCAACAAGAATCCTGAAAATTGTTTATTCTTCATTACTTCTTCACAAGAGGACGAAGAATCTTCCTCTCTGGTAACAAATCTCGACATGAAACTGACTTCCGTGGAGGCTTATTTTCATACACGGTGTGCTTCTGTCAATGGCTTTATCTGCATTTCACATAATGGCCGGTTCAAGATATGTAACCCTACCACGGGACAAGTCATAACCCTACCCGAAATCAAAGGTAATAAATGGAAGCATACATATAAGTACTTAGGGTATGATCCGGTTAATGATGAATACAAAGCATTGTGTAAGACGGTTTCAAATCTTAAAGAAGAGCACAAGATTTTAACAATTAGGGCTGATAGAAGATCTTCATGGAGACACGTTGAAGGCACTACCTTGAATTATCACCCTTTAACAAATACAATATGCATCAATGGGTTTGTTTATTACGGTGCTTCAACTCATTTACAAGATAAAAGTAGAGTGATAGTTTGTTTTGATGTTAGATCAGAGAGGCTAAGTTTTATCATACCACATTGGTGGGCCTGCGGCATTGAGTGGAAGTTAACTTTGACAAACTACAAAGGAAAGTTAGCTATCATTGATGGTCTAGATTTTGATTTACGGGTGTTAGAAGATGTCAAGGAACATCGATGGTCGAGGACGTCATTTTTGTTACATAGATCTTGGTTGGATTCTTTAGGAGGAAGAGGAACACCAATGTATTTTCCAGGCATCAACAAGATCGGAGAAATTATTATTGCACCAATGTTTTTGCCATGGGACCTTGGATCTTTTTACATTCTCTATTACAATGTTGAAAGCGGAAAAGTTAGAAAGGTTCGGCTCGAAGGAATTGGAGATGATGAAGATTTTGGTGACTGCCAAGTCTATATCTGGCCGGATTATGGTGGAAACATTACCTTTTTGTAATGTGTTTTTCTTTTCGTTTTTTAGAGTGTCTTAATTAGTATAAGACCATGATGATTGATGAGGACATTTGGTTTTTGTTTTTCCTTCTCAATAATGTTTTAAATTTTAAACACCAACCAAACTGGTTCGATATCCCATGAATACTGTGTTATGTATATCTCAGAAAATAAGACAAAGCGGGTCATTTTTTTTCTGTAACATGCACCCACATAAAATGTCTAAAACGACTCGGTAAAGGTTCTGAAAAGATATATCGATTAGAGCATCCCAATAAGGGTTTCTTTATGGGTTTCTCCATGAGTTTC